ACAGTGGTAGGGCGGTAACCGCAGCACAGTGACACCACATTGACGGGCCATCTCATCAGTCACGTAACTAATGTTCGCAGGTTTGTGCTGTTTAATTTTTTCATACAATTCCGCTTTCACACATGAATCGTCAAACGGGATTCCTTTTTCGCGCAACCATTGCTGCATGTCACTTTTTCGAGATCCCATAGTCGGTACACGTTCGGCTCGACGGCTATGGTAGGAAGCATTATCCATGACGATCACAGAGTTGGGCTCAAGTCGCTGAAGCACCCCTTGAAACCAGCTCTCGAAGCAGCTGGCATTCATTTCGTCATGGTAATCACCTCCTTTCTTAGAGACGAAAATCAAGTTCACACTCTTCTAAAAAGCCACTATCGCCACCAATATGAGTTCGATCAATCTTTGACCTTTCCCTGACGGTCCACGAAGACCTGTTGACAAACCTTCAATGCTTGCTTGTCGGTTACTCACTACGTTTTTGTCTATCCAGGTTTTTTTAACTGTGTCACCTGCATTTACGCATGTCTCGACCAAATAATAGATTTTTCTGCTTTGTCGCCTATATTCAATCATTTCGCGTAGGTATTTTCGACGCCAGGCGACTATTTCAGGTCTCTCTATCAATACTGACTTCCGATTAAACGTTTCGTAACGAAAATTAATTTCATGCAGGGATTTCCTCATTACCTCGACGCTCATTTGGGGTATAATTTCATTTTCCTTGATCGCTGCATGTACAGCCTTGAGGGTTGGTATCTCATTCCTAAAGAAGAATGAATGTACGGTTCGCCTTAACGCCATTTTGCTATCGTCATCCAATTTAACGGCCTTTCGTCGCTTCAAATTAAACTTTGGATCAGTAGTAGCTCCAGTTTTCTTCTTTTCATGCACCACCCTGCGAATGGTCCACTCTGGAACGCCTGTCATACTATCACAACGCGCGAGTGCATCTCCCTGCGACATAGTTCTGTTCAGATAATTGAACACGTTGAGCACGATTTCTTTCGCGTCCCTCTTCAGTGCTTTACGAAGCCGTCTACTTGTTCCCTGGCTTTCAGTACTTCACTCGTGCCATTTGTACTCTCCATGGTTAAGTATAACCAAAACAGTAACCACAGAAACCACAACAATAACAATCACACAATTCTTATAAAAACACACAATATGCGATCGCTCAACGAAACACGTTCCAATGCGTTGCCGACGCCTATGAGTCTGCCGGTCGAGGCGCGTCTTTGATTTCATTGGTTCTACCGGCGGAGAACAATCAGCCATTATTTCCATCTCTGTCTGTGCTGTTGACCACCGCAAAGCCACAGAAACGACATATGTCGTACGCTATACGGCTGTACTGGAAGGAAGCCGGGATCGAGCTCTGATCACGTGTTGATCACGCGTATGAGTCATTACAGTTTTAAATAGTTGTATAGTATACATTTGTCGTACAACTGAGTAACAGATGGGTCTCCTGGTACGACATTTGCAAAGCAAAGCTACCTCCGATGTTCACCAAGCTACCCCATCTACAATCTGCGTAAGTTACACAACAAATCGGTTTTGAACTTGTAAATAAAAATCGCGAATAAATACCAGGCCTTCGCTTTTTCACATCAACTGTCTACACAATCTGGATTTTCTTGTTGACATTAAACTACTACAATACACGTAGTGGTTTCTAGTAGGCGTCGACCATAACGTATCGATTGTAACATCCATTGTGATTTGCATGACCAGGTAGGTACGGAGGTGTGCTTCAGATATACACCTGTTTCGTCCGCATCTATTTGAATAATGTTACGATGTGCTATGTGAAATATATGTATAGTCATTACGTCTTAGTTAATTTTCGGAATACTTGTCATAAACATAAACCACTAGATCTGAAAGTAAAAATCGTAAACGGATTGCAAGCTTCGTAGAAATTTTGTAGTTGTCTTTTTATGTGCACTAAACAGTCTATTTTACAAAACGCTAGTCACCAAGCTGATTTTGGTTGTCCAAATCCATTTTGAGAGGTCTTCAAAATCCTTGAACTTCTCACAATCTGATATGTGAAATCATAAGCTCTTTTTATATTTAAGAATGCAATACCTATACAGGGCTTTCCAGAATAGTATGCATATAGAACACACAAAAATTATACCAGAAGTTCCTATAAAGTAATGCCCTACGGGGTCCACTAGGGAGATACAAACTCCTGAATAACCCTTCTGGAAATCGGTAATTCTAAAATAACTTTGGAATGACATTTAGATGGTCGAAGACGGACTTGCCTCGACGCAATATTGAGAAAAATTTTACATCCCTTATAGCAGCGGACCAACAATAAAATCTTTAGATAGCTTCATCTTTGAGCTGGAAAAATGTGTTCTTATTTGACATCAGTAAAATGGCGGTTTTTGAGAAACACTCTTGTTTCAATAAGTTTTGTTAATTTTGGCCTTGCATTCAATATACAACCTCCACTTTGAATCTTACCGTAGAAATTCTGGTATCAGAATCGTAATAAAACAGTACAAAGTACCATCTATTACCAGAATCAACCATTGCGAAAGTGAACGATTTTGGTATTAAGTGGCACTTTGTGTGATTATTCTGATGAATTGCCAAAAACGAAACAACTGTAGATGGTTGGCCGTCTGTCTACAGAATCGTAGTTAGCGACCCGAAGAATCCCAGTACATAAATGTTAAGAAATCACCGGGATCTGATAATATAAGCGCATACACTCTGAAACAAATAAATTATAAAATTTCTAAAGTATTAGCATATCTTATAAACACCACCACCATGGAAAGAGGAATGTTCACGACCCAATTAAAAAAGGCAATAAAAAAACCTGTATTTAAATCTGTAGATAAACAGAAACCTTGTAATTATCGCCCAATTTAAGTATTGACAAACTTTTCAAAAGTTTTTGAAAAAAATCTTAAAAAACTTTTTTCAGATTTTATTGCAAAATACAACCTCATATCTGAAGAGCAGTATGGATTCCAGGAAGCAAAATCAATTCAAGATGCACTTATTCAGTTAACAACCAAAATATACAAGTACGCTGATAATAATAAATCATTTTGTAGACCTAACCAAAGCATTCGATAGTATTACACATCAAAAATTATTAAGAACCTTGCAAAATTTAGGATTTTGTGGAGTCACTTATCAACTCATGAAAAGTTATTTGGAAAACAATGTGTGAACATCAACAGTACACTGAGTAAAAATATGATTGTTAGATGCGGAGTTCCACAAGGAACCGTATTAGGACCAATGCTGTTTAATTTATATATTCATGACCTTTTTAAATTAGAAAGTGGTGGAAAAATTATTGGTTTGGCAGACGATACGGCAATTATTTACTCAGACAAAGATTGGACTTCAAACAGAATTTTATTTGATTTTCAAAAGGTCACAAATTTTTTCACGGAAAGGATTTTAACAGTCAATTTCACCAAAACATACTTTATTACATTTTCTTGCGACAACAGATCTTCCCGAAATTTTAATCAACTCCAAATTAAAACGTTGAATAGCTGTAGAAACATACAATCGGTTTCTAATTTCAAATACCTAGGGATATTCTAGATAACCATCTAAGATGGAATAAACATATTGAAAATTTAGTAAGAAAACTGAGATACCTTATTCCGAAAGTCAAATATTTCAGCAGTTTTTTAAGCGAAAAATATCTACACAACATGATATATCATGCCCTTGTTCAATCATTACTATCTTACGGAGTCATGAATAATTATTATAAAAGGTTGAAATTACGCAGAAGTTGATTTTAAAAGTTATGTTGAACAAAAAGAAATGTTATCCCTCAGAAAATCTTTACACTGAATCTCAGCTTTTCGACTGCTGGCAAATTTATTTTTATCATACAATAATATATTTAACAAAAAATACAAAATTGTTACTTTCTATCAGCCACAACCATCAAACGCGATTCAACGAAACCTCTGCACTAATTCGTAGACTTAATAAAACTATCAGCCAAAGATCATTTTCTATGCTCAAAATTTTATAATGTTATTCCTGCAAACCTTAAACATATAAAATGTAAAAAACGTTTAAAAATTGAATTAAAATCATGGATCCTAAATCAACCAAGGCTACAAATCCATAAGTTTGTTGACGCTAAGAAGCTACTCGTATATATGTTATTTGATCATAAAATGATGCAAATTTATACATTTGGCTAGTATATTTAAAGGAAATTTGTTGTATTAATATAACCCAACTTCGGTTAAAACCCTAGCACAAATGTACACTTTTTTGGGTATATTATGTTTATTGGACATTGCCTTTATTATTTAGACGAACACTTGGATCAATAAACATTATTATTGAAAAAAATTATCCAGTGAAGACTTTTATGAGAGCTCGACTGTTATTCTGGAATGACTAGGGGTTCCAAAACTTGTACTCGAATTGAACCTCTAGTTGGTTTTTAAGAAGGTTTTTAGTATTTAGACATCTTTGAGTGCTCGTTAACTGACTACATTATCCATGCTGGATGCAGTGCAGAGGAGGGCTGTCCAACTGATAGATGGGTCGTCTCTAACAAACAGCCTCGGGACCGTTTCGCACCGGCTGGCCATCGGTGATCTAGCTCTCTTCTACCACTACGCCAACGGGCTTTGCTTCTCAAGCTTTGCTCCATGATGCCGCCTCGCGATGTGCCTGCTAGACAGACCCGCCTGACTTCGGCCTTCTGTCCTTACCGTGTCGAGCTTCGCACATCCAGAACTTGCCGTTACAACCGCTCCTGTGGGGCATCGAGATTGTGGAACAATCTACTTGAGGAGGCTTTTTCCAGTTCTACTCACAGCAGGCAGTTTAAAAATCGGATGAACAAAGTTTCTTTAAAGCCAAAAATACGTAAGGAAAATAAATATAATTTATCATATTAGACCTGTAAGTACCTACAGTCGAGAGCAGAAACATTTTCGCGTTGGGAAAGCTTCATATCAATCAAAATGAATTTATGTATTTCAGTTTACCGCAACGTGAAGTTTCCGTTTCCTAACATGGGTAGCGCAATACTTTGCCCTCAACAGTATTATACTACTTTCAGCTTTACGTTCTGCAGCTCTTTTCAGTTGCTTTTTGGTGCTCAAGCTGTGCCTTTGAGAAAACCTCTGGTTTCTCAAAAATTTAGCATGCATGCCTAAGGTAGATTCGCGAAGGGAGCGTTTTGGTTTTTTGATACCATCACGGTGAGCTTTGCGATTATGGTTGTGGTTGCGTTGGTAACGTGTCAAAATCGGTCATCGAAAAGACACTATATGAATTTATCCAATTCGGAAATCATCTTGAATATGTAGTCGGTCTACTTGACTAACAACCGGCATATCATAGCACTATCAGTGATAATATCCCTGATATCACGTTCTTCGTCGTCGATGGTAAAACTGGCGCCGTGTTTGTGTATGTGCGTAACTGTGCGGAGCATCGACAATTGTATGTTAATTCCGCCTATTGACTCTTGGCCCCCAGCCATTTCCTTGACCCCTTTTTCCTGTTCTAATTGTTGATATTGTACAAGAAACGCAGTCGCGCAGATAAAACGGGAATTTGGAGCGGCATGGCCGCTGCCTAGCTGCTTGCCGATGCCGTCGCCGTCTTTGGGAACCGAACCAGATCTTACGCAGATTACGACACGGGTGCTGCTGCTATGATGGAAAACAAGTACAGAGTGACACAATTCAGTCCAAGAATTAAGGAATTCTCTGATCAAGTGTTGTATGTGTGTGTGTTGTATGTGTAACTAGGCTATATATTTCATCTTGTACAAACATGGAAAACCGAGAGTGCAACGGCATACCAAAAAGTAGTTATATAAAGAGAAGACAGAGATAAGATATGTTTCCAAAAACAGCTGATGGCGTCTAAACACTGCTATTCTTATTTAATCAGGAATAAATGCTTTGTTGCCAGATGACCCTTTCCGGATGGGATTTATTCATGGTGGTGATATTTATATCCATTTGCAACCTACAAAATATATTTTTCATCCAATGGAGTTATATATCTCACTTTTCCGGGAAAAACCTCTTCTCAATGCCAGGAAGTTATCACATAGCTATTCAACCTTTACGGCCCTACGCGGAATTCCTCAGCTTAGTAGTAAAAGAAATACGTCAGTTTGAAATTCGAAAATTTTCTATCCTCAAATTACTTATTTGACCCGTCGCCGGTCTATCTGACATGGTCGCGAGTTATCTTGATAGCGTGTCTTTAAGATGTTTATTTATTTCTTATGACTCTTTGACGTAACCACCAAAGACCATGAAAAGGGCTGAACTCCATTCTGGTCAATATAAATGTAGCGTTTTATAAATATTTTATGCCAGCTTGGCAACACCTCTTCTAGAAAATATGCAAAGTATGCTTTTTAGATGGATGGGCATCACGGAGAACCATGCCACTAATTTTCGTTAGTCCGTGTGACCGCTAATTCTTCCCACTGTAATTTGGAAAGTGACTGTCGACTGTGCCAAGAACGAAAAAGCTTAAATCAATTAAACATGAAATTAGAGGCATACCGGGCACCATAAGGAGCCACCGCATAGGCCACATAGACGGACCCTTGTGCACCTCTACATTCCTTAGACCTCAAGCCTCGCCATTCTAGCGAAGTTGGGTATGGCCTTAAGTCTAAGCTGCTTAACGTCCTGGGGGTCCAAAGTATTGAACCCATGTATACTCTGTCTTTAGTAGCTAAGAACCTCACAGCGACACACAACGTACGCCGAGGTCTCTTCCTCTAGGTTTATCTCAATTTTTTACCTCTTTACATTTATACCTTTCCAATTTCGGTAATTCTACGTACGTATGCATACATGTATTTCACACATCTTTAATTTCCCCGTAGAGTTGCCCTTAAGACTTCGTAGTCATATTTTCAACTCGCACACGTCGCAGCAACGCAACGCACATCGATATATACTAAGTGACATATAAATCCGAACACCCAGTTTAAATGGTTTTATTTTAATAAAAGTTGGTGAATGTATTTATCTTACTGTAAATAACAAGTGAAAAAATTTTCAGCCTTATCAGTTGGACATTCCGGTTTTTATACTGCTTTTTTTTAATTCACTAACGCTCTAAAAATGAATATTTCAGCCGCAGTAAAGAATCAACGTTGGCGGATTTTGGTTCTTGACATCCATCCTAGAGTACAGAGACCTGTACGATTTTGTCAACTTAGTGAGTTTGATAGGGGCCGTATAGTGGGACTTCGGGAAGCTGGACTTTCTTTCGGACAATTGCAGTTAGAGTGCAAAGAAGTGTAGACACTGTGGTTAGGAGTTGTCAGGCATGTCTTCGAGAAGGCCGTACGCAAAGAGCAAGGGGCACTGGACGCCGCCGTAGAACAACAGACCGTGAAGATCGCCGCCTAAGATTATTGGCCTTAAGGGACCGTTTCTCCAGTACCAGGTCCATTTCAAATGAATGGTTTTCAGAACACGGAAGACCTATTGGCATGCGAAGTGTTTACCGACGAATGAGAAGTTTTGGCTTGTTTTCATACCGACCACACTGGGTCCTCCCTTTAACTCGTAATCGCCTTGAGTGGTGCAGACAACGGTCACTCTGGGATCTGGAATGGAACAGTATTGTCTTTAGTAACGAGTCTCGATCTTGTTTAGGCATGCACGATGGTCGTGCCAGGGTTAGAAGGCGACGTGGTGAAAGGAGGAATCCACAGTTTTTTGTTGAAAGACATGTTCATCACACTGTTGGAGTTATGGTTTGGGGTCCTATAGCTTATGGTTCCAGGTCACCTTTAATCTTCATCAGAGGTAACATGAACGCGCAGCGTTATATCCACGAAGTTCTAGAACCCCATCTTTTACCCTATCTTGACACCCTGGCAGATCCAACTTTCCAACAAGATAATGCCCGACCACATGTTGCAAGAGTCACAATAGACTTCTTTCAACATAATGATGTCACATTGTTACCATGGCCACCAAGATCTCCCGACTTATCCCCAATTGAGCACGTGTGGGATATGTTGGATAGGAGATTGCTCAATTTGCAACGTCCTCCTCAGACTCTAGAAGCACTTCGAGAGGAGTTGGTGGTTGCCTGAAATGAGATACCACAGGACGACATTGACCACCTGATCAGAAGCATGCCTAGGCGCGTTGGAGAATGCGTAGCACATCAGGGTGCATCCACACATTATTAAAGGTCAAAGGGCTTTAAAGCAGTGCAATCATTTTGAAATTTTTATCATTTACGTATTATGCTTCATTAAGTACTTATACAAAATTTTATTAAAATAAAACCATTTAAACTGGGTGTTCGGATTTATATGTCACTTAGTATACCTGCGTGAACTTCTGACCTATGCCTGACATATGGGTGGGTGACGAGTGGCGAGGACAATGTTAATCACAGCAGCGTTGTCAGATGGTCAATACGGTCCGTAGGGCAGGGGAGAAATTTATAGGTCACAACTTTGTCAAACGGGTGGGAACTACGGACTAATTTTGAAGGCCTGTTTGACTGACTTGATCCCTTCTATCTTTTGGCCTAATGTTTGTAGATAATTTTTTTCTCAGAGGGGCTTGCAGAGGGATGCCGATGATACCATTCGAAAGAGGGTGGGTTCTCGATCGGTAAATGACGTTAGATTCGGTAGAGAACACGGTTTATTGAAACGTTACATTTGAGAGCAAATTATAAAGATAACTTAAATATACGTTTATTCACGACCATGCCACCACGCATGTGCAGGATTGACTGCCTCCTCGAACTCTGACATAGTTGCCAAGTGTATTGGCACATCCACCGCACACAACACTGAACCTCTACAGCGTTCCGTGGAAGTGCACAGTTCACCTACTTGGCGCCATTGTTTTGCTTGGTTTGGCCTTTTGTGACATTACACCGAAGTTATGTCTTTGTCTCGCGAACTTGTACGTTCTTCACAAGTGTTCCTGGGAGTTGGACCGACTGACTGTTGAAGAAAGTCCAGCAAACTTTTCCTTAACATTCATTACACATGTAAGAAGAAGTTTACTGAGTAGATTCCGCAAGTTAAGTGTAAGCTATATAATGAATGCAAATCGACGATTCCCAATTTGCGTAGCTAATACTTTTAACTAGTATCTGCAGAGGAGTTTTTGACCAGTGTCAATACGTTGTGATACTTGTTATCTTATTAACTTCCAAAGTCTTAAATGTGTAACTTATGTCTGTTTACACATGTCATCTTGTTTTTCTTTTTTATAGCAAGCAGTGGATTTGGGGGATTAGCTATTGAGTTGTATGTTGCCCAATGAGATCAAATCATTGAATTTTATTTTCAAAACCAACGAGCATATCATCGAGACCTGTGTGGAAATGCTCCACCAAAGACAACAATTTGTTGTTTGGTGGAGGTTTGAAACCCTTTCACGACGATTGCGCCACCCTGTGTGTATAGCCAGATCAATACGTTACCATATATTATAACCCTTCTCCAACCTACCTGAAAATATCAATGAGTAAAAAAGTAAGTTTAATGTTCTGTTTTACATTTATTTTGTTAATATCCAGTCAGGTGAGATTGATTTCTGTAAAGCCTCTAAAATTAGCAATACTTTCAAGTAGAATCTTTTTTTTTTCACTACTAATCCGAAAACTCATCATTATTAGCCACAATACATCACCGGGAAGCAGCTTTCCTCTCCCTAGGTAAATAACGTTAACACAAAAGACGCCTAGGTTAATGATATCATCTAAAATGTGCCTCAGCAGTGGCATACAATACATTGACTATAACAATTTTGCATCTTTACTTTTACATAATTTCTTCTTAAAGATACTCAGACGTCATGCCAGTAGTTAAAAATGAAGAATTTTTCTGCAAGCCAGCGTAAAATTGGAATTTGTTCAAGATCACGATCCCACCGATACGCAAAGGTTTTTCCAGTGGCGAAGCGTCCATGTAACCATTGTTAGCATTGGTAACAGTTAAAAATCTTAAAAATAAATATTTTATGACTAAGTACTGTGAAATAATTTCATTTATGTGTTTGCCAACAGGGATGTGTGATAGTAATTCAGTAAATAGCAAATTAGCCCCACGAATATAATGCGCCCTATAGTGTCTAGGTTTTGCGAACACGATGAAACTGACTCGCCTCGACTTGGTTGTCGGTTGTTA